CGTGAATTAAAAAATAAAACACAGTGGGTGGTATCCCATTGCAAAGTTATGCAAACAGGAATTGCTGTATAATTGCAGAACAGGATTTCAGACAATGAATTACATTTAAAAAAAAACAACAATTAAACATATTAATGAGATTACAATGACTAGCAATTTTAAAACTATTTTAAAGCACATTAAGACCATAAAAACAAAAGTGCCCAATTTAATTGCTGACAAATTACTTCTTCATTACTAAATTATTAATTACTAAAAAGGCAGGTCTTCGTAGGGGGTGTGGAAGAAGGCCCAATTTGGTTTCTGAAGAAAGTGCATTCTGAAACCGGCGTTGTGCAACAGCTAACATGCTAACAGGAGCATTTTAAAAGAACCCACATGATACCAGTTCTGCAGGATTGGCACTGACTGCCAATATGCTTCCTATCAAGGTGTTGACGATGACTTATAAAGCCCTGAACAGCTTTGAAGCTGGATATCTCAAGGAGTGCCTCTACCCATATAAAGCTGCCTGATTACTAAGATCTGTGGAGGAGGCCCTTCTCTGTGTCCCACCCACTGGGAACAGTTTGTTATGTGGAGACGCAGAGGAAGGCTTTTTCTGCTATAGCAAAGGTCTGCAAAGAGTTTAATGCAATAGTTTTAAATGCATTAATTTTGTGTTTGATTTTGAATTGTTTTAAATATCTTGTGTTTTAAAATTGTTTTGTACAGCTTTGTAGCCCACCCTGAGATTCTGCGATTTAGGCTAGGGTATAACTGTTTTAGCTACCTGGATAGTTCAGTGCTGTGACGTGGCGGGCCACTCCAAAGTCACTGCCAACTCCAGGCCTCTCATAATGCCCACCACGCCGCTACACTCTCTTGCTGCCACCAACCTTTCCTTTAAATGAAAAGGACAAGGGTTTCTTTCAAAAGTAAAACTGGCTTATTGATTACAAAAATAAAATATGAAAATCACAAGTAGCTAATCACGATGTCAATCACTGCTTCTTATTTAATTAATCACATAGACTTTCCCTCACTGACAACTCTCACACCAGATCACTCCAGATCTCACTATAGAACTCTCTCTGACTCAATCACCCCCACACACTCTTCACCCCCCTTTTTATACCAGCTCCTCCCCTTCAGTTCCACCCTCCGTCACACCATTGGCTGATGACTCGCTGCTCAGCTGTGACGGACAGGTGAGGTCAAGGCTGCCTGTTACAAGTGCTTTAGGTATCTTCCTGTGGAGCCAGAGGTTGGGAGTTTGAGTCACCATTTTGCCTCCTGTGAGTAGAGCCGGTTTGTGTGCTCCCAGAAGAAGGGAGTGGTGAACCACATTCTCTACTCCACATTCTCTTGGAAAGGGTCACCATAAGTCAGAGTTGACTTGATGTCACATGGTTATTACAAAAATGTTTTAAATAAAATAAATAAAGACAAAACCTTGGAGCAACCATCGACAAGACGCTGCCACAGCAAAAGTGCCCACAAACGTTGTGTGACTGATAGAAAGTTCCCTCAGAACCACGTCTTCCAGTGGTTTATGAAAGAAAAATAACTTGAAAGTCAGTAAGTTTTACTATAGGCTATAAATGTGTAGCTTTTTTAAAAAAAAAGTTCTTCATTTAAAAAGCTGTTTTCATGTTAAATAATGTTAGAAACTTGAAATACAAAGCCTGGTTAAGGTTTAAAATCAATCTAGAGATGGTGTACTATAAACAAAACGGGGGCTCTCCCACCCACCCCAGCCCTTTTGCTCTCTGTATTATATTTATATTAAAAGTACTCCAATTCCTCTCTCCATATGCTATGAAACAAATGCTCATATATGAAGATGTTCTGGATATTATTAACTTTTATTACAACTTCATTGGTAGAGTCCAAGTACACATGTGTTTCCCATAAAATGCCAGGCACTCTACTGCATGTTCCAAACCTTTTATCTCAGTGGTTCAAAACTATCACAGTGCAGGAGTGGCTGTTTTTGTTCTCGCTCATAGGTGTGCTGTCAACCATGGTTTCCCATTTCCTCCGCAGCTGTAGAATTTCATACGTATCTCCTGTCCTCTACTTTCAGATCCCAGGTGTGACTTGGCCTGAAGGGCATTTCCTCCAAGGGAGGAACCCTTAGTTTTCACCTAAAGTTGCTTAGTCTGTGACTCCTACACAGTATGAAAGACACTTGTTTTTCCCTTCTGGCATTTTGGCCAATGAAGGCAAAACCATCAGGTTGATTGATAATCAATAAGCACTCTTTTTAAAGTCTTGTATGGATCAATCCAGTTGTTTGTCCCAACTAGAGAAGACCAACCTGCCCGCAAGACAACCTTTTGATCTCCACATCATGAGTTTTAAGGATTTTTCCCCCTTGCTACTCAAAAAGACCACCTTGCCCCTTTTAGGGAGCACGGGAAGGCAATTTCACTCATCCCCACCCCTTTTGTTTTAAGCCCTGGGACAACTTTTTTCAGGGGTAAAACTATTTCTAATAACTTCGGTTTTGCTTTGTTTTAATTCCTGGGTTTAAAAACAGATTTTAAAAAGGAGCTAACATGCTGTCAAAAATTGCTGTTCTGGCTTGCTATATGATTTGAGGAAGACTTGTGTGGGTGTGTTTGTGTATGTCTTTTTTTTTAATGATGGTTGCATGGGGGTGGGTTCTATGTATGGATTTGTGCTGGTCCTGGATTTCTGTGCTCCTGCCTTTGGTAAATCAGGCGCTGTGTTGTTGTTTTTCCCAAATGAATTATTTCTTTTATTTCAAGGGGCAAGTGCTATTTCTCTGTGCCTCTGCTAGTTCTTTGCCCTGACAGGGTACAGCTGGTTTCTGTATAACTGGCAGCTGTGCATTTCAGTACAGTGAAACTCCCTCTCTTGAATGTGATGCAGATTTTCATTATTAAAGCTCATACTTCTAAAACGGATTCTTGACTGTGGCTTTTCTTTTTTAAGAGCCTGCAGCTCTCTTGTGTCAACAGCTGGCATTTATCTTATAGTTTCCATAGATTATACAATAAGTTTGCAATATTTATTCAGAATGGTTACATTTTTTCTCATCCTTTAGTATCTCAAACAAGTTAAAAGCTTAACTCTATCAAGTTAAACCAGTAGACTGTAATTTGCTAAAAGCAAAGGGGAAAAAAGATTATTGTGAGCATGTAAAAGATGTCTTAAAGTGTACAAATTTGCACAGCACAAAAAGCAAGGGACCCTGACTAGTTGTGTACCCACAATACTTTGGGGCACCCTGCTCAATTTGGGAATGGTTAAAGAAACAACAGCTTAGCTTGTTGTGTCTCTGAAAATAGGCAGCTTCCTTTCTTTAGTTTAGTCCCCAGATATCCACGGACTATAATTCCCAGAATACTTCACCACTAGCTTTGCTGACCAGTAATCTAAGAGCATCTGGGGAGTTAAGGTTGGAAACCACTGCTCTAGTTAGTTCCCTTTTAATAAACCAGAGAATAAACCCTGGATTTGTTTTCCTACTGTTGAGAAGAGCCAGCTGGAGAAGGGAAACTGTTTACTGCCTCACAACAGGATAAATCAATTGTAGAGTAATGCTGTTTGTTTAACCACTGAGTGATTGAGCAAAGCGTACCATAATGCCACTTGTAGATCAGAAACCAGAGTTCCCTCATTCCCTGACTTTTCCTGTCCTATGAATTCACCCATCAGGTTAAAGGTCTGGTCCATCTAGCTCTCTACTGACTGCGCTTCATGACAGCTGTTCTCTGGGTTCATATGGGAATCATTTTCCAGGTTTACCTGAATTGAAGCTGAGATCTTTTTGCATGCAGAGGAGGTCCTTCCAAACTGAACAGATCCAGAGCTTGGAAAATTTCCTTTTTGGATGCTGGTAGATTCTGGGAATTGCGGTCCAAACCAAAAATAATTTTTCAACCACAACATAGATATAGGATCAAAGTACAACAGGCTGCTTTGTTTGCTCCTAAACTCTGTATGGAGTGTTGTACAGCAGGGCGTAAAACTCTAATGACAAGCTCTAGAAGGCTTGTAGAGCCATGAAATCCTAGAAGCGAAGTGTTGGAAGGAACTGCAAGAGTTATCTAGCCAGTCGCCATCCCTGTGCAGAACAGCCAGTGAGCAAGCAGGAAACAACGACATCAACAATATTCACAGAACATCTCACATAGGTGCATACAACTTTGCCTATGTTTTTAACTTGCCTGATTCTAATAAAGGATTAGTGAAGATAGGAAGCTTTTTGTATACATACACTAGTGCTTTCACTCCACCTATTGGTGACTCATTAGATCTTGCACTGCTAACTGTATATTAAAAGTTTAGTTTTCGTGATCCATCCATTAAAATGGTTCCTATTAGAACTTTTTATTAGGCATCCTTAAATAGGCAGAAGGATAGCTCTGTGTAGCACCAAGGTGGTTCTTGATGGAAAAAAAAGTTCCTTCAGATGAAGTTGCTCTCTGTCTGGGAATGCTAAAATATCTGCAGTAGCTGGTACCATTTATCTGTATATAGTGGAGAGGTCTACACAGACGCTTTCCACAGGACAAATGGAAGCATAACTCCATAGCAGACTAGTTTTTCTCCTGTACTGTATGTCTTTTAATAATCAATGATAATTCTTGACTCCTACCTACTGGAAAACTCAATTTTCCTACTGGCAATAAAGAAAGAAAGAAAATTAAGATACTCAGTCACATGCCCCATTCATAGAAACTGGAAAAGGGTAAAGCATTCACTGGATCATTAACACTGGTGGAAAAGGTGAGCCTCCAACTCCCCATAACTTCTCATCAGGTTGGATTGTACAAAATGTGAGGTGGAAGTGGTGCAGACAAATAGCAAAGTCCCAAAAATTATTGTGGCCACATGTTAAGGTCACAGGGTCGGAAATTATACTGAAATTTGAAGATGAGTCCAAAGGCTTGAAAAGTCAACTCGAGGGATGATGAATTTTTGATTGGGTGTGTGTCATATAATGTGGAGCATTATGACATGATTTACGTTTTCTGTCGTTGCAGTGATCTGCTGTCTTCAGAATACCTTGAGAGGCATATTGAGCATGGTGGGAAGATGGTGGAAGTGAAAGTAAGACCTTGTACATTGACAAGTATTTTTGCTAGATATCTGTCTTACTGCATGTAATTCAAGTGTATTTTGCTGGAAGCAGTTCTCCTGTTAGGAGTCTTACTGCATGTAATTCAAGTGTACTGTATTTATTTTGCTGGAAGCAGTTCTCCTGTTAGGGATAATAAATTTGCCACTTAGTTATTTAAAGGTAAAGGTTCCCCTTGACAATTTTTGTCCAGTCGTGTTCGACTCTAGGGGGCGGTGCTCATCCCCGTTTCCAAGCCATAGAGCCAGCGTTTGTCCGAAGACAATCTTGCGAAGTCACATGGCCAGTGTGACTTTGACATGGAATGCTGGGGGCGGTGCTGTAACTTTCCCACTGAGGTGGTCCCTATTTATTCGTATTTGCATGCTTTCGAACCGCTAGGTTGGCGGGAGCTGGGACAAGTGACGGGCACTTACTCCGTCATGTGGATTTGATCTTACAGCTGAAGATCTACAGACCTTACAGCACAGAGGCTTCTGCGGTTTAACCCACAGCGCCACCATGTCCCTAATTATTTAAAACTACTGTGCTATCTTGGGAAGTCCTTCTTTTGGTAGATGTATGTGTGCACGCACACATACAAAGAAATGCACAGGGGATTACAATAGGGTGAAATGCAACTGAACTTGGGGGTACACTTTAAGGTCTTTGTTGCTTGGGAATTGAGTTCAAAGGCCAGACAGTCATCTAGCAAATGACACTGTTAGTTGGCGAATGGGTTAGCAAATGAAATCAAAAAGCCAAAGTGACACCGTCTGTCTTGCGTGCACAAATAATTTGAAGTTATTGTGGAAATATGTTCCTTTTAATGTAGCTGATATCTAGATGTTGATTCTTCCTTTTGCACCCTGACTAGCCTCTGGGTATACAGTAGCTGTAGTATATCCCAGAATACTACAGATAGTAGCTTTCACATTTTTGCCTTCACAAGGGCAATCTGGAGGAACATCAGCCTCACCTAAAATGCTATGGCTGATTGGAAAAGGTGAGATTGATTACACTGTGTACATGAATGGTACATGAATACACCATGTCAAACAGTTGTCATGGCACATCATAGACCAGTCCCCATAGGTTCTTGGCCTAAAATTCCAAGATGCTTTCTCTCACCTAAAATGTTGCGGCTGATTGGAAAAGGTGAGACTGATTACAACTGTGTACATGAATAGTACATGAATACACCATGTCAAAAAGTTCTCATGGCATTTCATAGACCAGTCCCCGTATGTTCTTGGCCTAAAATTCCAAGATGCTTTCACCATTAGCTGTGCTGGGAACCACTGTTGAAGACAAAGCATAAAAAGCAGCCCTTTGTTGTCCTGGTTTGAAGTCTGTATTGAAGATCTTGGACAACTTTCTGAAAGTCATTGTTGTCCATAGGTACTAGTCTACAGTCACAGTCATCTCATGATTTCCAGAGATGCTGGCTGGGGATGATGGGAGTTGCAGCCCAGCATACCTGGATGAGATATGTTGAGAAAGACAGATCTAGGGATTCATCCACATGTGCCTTGTTGTAAGATTCCACTCTGTCAATTGGACTTCTTTAGCTGTCCCTACTATGATTAAAGAACGGCAATATGCTGCTTTCATCAGACTACATAATCATGAAGTGTCAGAGATTGATCAGAAAGACCCAGAAGGGAGTGTAGTTATCACAGCTTGGGGTTGTATAGGAATGGTAGGAGCCAACCTCAGTTTCAGCACCTGAGATGACCGTTTTCCCTGGTTGTGTTACACCAGTCTTTGCCCGTTGCCCTTCCTAAGAGCAGAGTGGCATGCTACATACCAGCCATAATTGATGGAGGAAAGAAAGGAGCGAGGCCTTCAGTACCACAAAGTATATGTTTGAAAGATGGATGTGTCTATTTACATTAAGGATGTGGTCATGATGGGAGTGCTATATATTTATGCCATTGAGAAGGCCTGTTTGTACCAAGTGTAATCAGAAGAAGAAATAAAAGATAGGTACTGACATTATTAAAGAGAAGGAATGGGTATACACAGAGGGGAAAATCTAAACACTTTGGACGGTTGGCAGATCTCTTTCTGACCAAATTAGGTTCTGATAGTAGGCACGAATAAGAACTGCTTTTGGACCATTTGAAGTCAGTATAATCAATTTTAATGATTTATTTATCAGAAATTGAAGATTGGGTGATTGGGTTTGCTGCCCCACCCATCCCCTGCATGCATCTGGGATTCTGAGGTTGTCCTCCAGTTTGCCAACAAGAAGATCTAGTCAGAACTGGTAGGAAGTAAAGTAGAAGTAGAGTGGGCAGGCTTCAGCCCTGAGGGATCTAACTGTATATATATATATTTGTTTCATCACTAGAACCTTAGTTTTTAGCATTTCCAGGAAGTCCCAGGTTTCCTCTCAAGTTTTTTTCTCTTTCAGAAGCTAGAAAGAGAAGGGAGACAAATAGGAATGTGCTTGTTCTTATTACTGAGCTGTTGGAAGAAAGAACCCCGTGCTGATTTCCCAGAAACCTACCAACAGACTTCAAGCTAATTTTCAAACGCAGCTCCAGACCACAAATGATATTTGAAACAGCAGCTACCAAGTTTGTGCTGTGTTGTGTAGCAGAGTTATAAAATCTGGTGACATCTTCTAGGAAGTTGTCTGTTTTCCAAATCGTTTTCAACAGTTTTCAATTCTCCCCTGCAGAAGTACCAAGAATAATGATTGTGGTTGAGTTGTGTAACTTTCTGCATTCTTTGCTTTGTACCAATATACAGCATGTCAGCTCTCCTGACATAAAGCACTTAGATCAAGAGTGGGTGGCTTGTGGGCCTCGAGGTATTGTTGGCCAACAACTCACATCAACCCTAGTATATGTAGCCAAGGTGGGAACTTACTAGACATATTGTACCATAAAAGGAAAGAAGGAAAACTAGAAGTCGAGTTCATATAGTCCTATGAGAGCTGTTCGTAAATTGAAACGTTCGTATGTCGAGCCGTTCGTAAGTCGAGACCCCACTGTAGAACAGAAAAGTAGTCAGTACTGATTTTAGTGTCTAGCCTTAGGAAAGCCACCATCTCCCAGGCTCACAGTTAATGTGAGCCTGGATATATACACCAGCTTTCCTTACAGTATCATTGTAAGAATTAGTGTGAGAAGCGGTGTGAATGCTTTGAGCCCTCTACGTCAAGTTGCACTAAATAAATGTTTAGCTGCATTATTGAACAGAAAAGTAGTCAGTACTGATTTTAGTGTCTAGCCTTAGGAAAGCCACCATCTCCCAGGCTCACAGTTAATGTGAGCCTGGATATATACACCAGCTTTCCTTACAGTATCATTGTAAGAATTAGTGTGAGAAGCGGTGTGAATGCTTTGAGCCCTCTACGTCAAGTTGCACTAAATAAATGTTTAGCTGCATTATTAAAACTGGCAGAAGAAGTGATTTCAGTGCAGTTCCACCCACCTCTTGCCAAACTTTGATAGAGAAGCTGAAACGTCTTGCCATCCCATTTACTATTGTGTGGATTAATTAGCCTCTGAGATGCTTTCTTGCTATTTTGCTATAATTCTTAACTTGAGCCAATTTGCCACTGCAGAACTTTAGTCTAAATTATACCCCCCAGTACCAGAAGATGAATGAGAATTGCTTCAGGAATCCACCTCCCCCCCGTTTTCTTCCATCAGCTTCCTCCCCTAGGGAGGAGAACTTTGCAAGTTTTTGGCTTAGGTAGCTTTGTTTCGCCTAGGGTTGCCCAATTAGAATTTTAAAGATAAAGTACAGTGCACAATAGGCTTCTGTTCTGCGAAATTGTTGTGTTCTCTTGGCAGCTGTGGTTTATTCAGCGAGTCAAGCCTTTTTTTCCCTCCTGTCCCTTCCCCTGCTGACCCCCCTGAGTGTTTCTTAGTAGAGAAGGGGCTGTTGGGCCACTGGGAGACACCATGCAGTGTAACATGGCTCTTAATTCTACATTTAAAGAACATTCTGTCTTCCAGGAATTTGACCAGTATATGCATCCTTCAATGCTCCTGCTTTAGTTTCTTTTGCTCAATAGCCCTACTCCACTTTGCACAGGGAGCTGCATTCGGGCAAAAGGAAATGAGAACAAATAAGGGAGACTTGTTGGGACTTAGCAGAAAGAAGCTGTGAGGAGAAAGCACTCAAGAGTCCTTTAATTCTCAGATCACTTTATTTCAGTTTGCTAAGTGGATGAACTCAGGAAATGAATGTTGAAGGCACAGCATACAAAACAGTGTTACACTTTTTCTTCCGGGGGGGGGGCATAAATCTTGGTAAAGCACATGCATGTCGTGCAGAAAGTCCTAGTTTCGGTTCCTAGTACCACCACCATCAGCTTAGAACTGCAGAGCTGGAAGGGGCCCTATGGATCATTGATTCTGGCCAGCCCCAGTGTAGGAGGCCCAGTGGAGAACTGAACCCCCCCAACCTCTGGCTCCACAACCAGCAACCAGAACCACTGAGTGCCATCCAGCAGCCCATCTCCATTTAAAAGAAGACAAAGGGTCAGGGAAAGACCTTTGCTGATGTCAATCACAGTAGATAACATTTGGCTAAATGGGCAAAATAATATAATCTGGTGTAACACAGATCCCGACGTCCATGTGCCCATTGATTAGGAAGCATGGATTCCTGTGCTCCCTAATAAGCAGCACTTGGAAATGTTACATTTTGGGCTATAAATCCCAGAATCCCCTAGCAGCATGGCTACTGAGAGAGCTTTCTTGGTGATCACTCCAAGGCTTGGGCCAAGGACCAAGGCTGACTCCCTCCTTTACTGTCTTTCTGCTGGCTAACAAGATCTTTTTTTAAAATTCAGATAAGCCTTTGGCAACTGAACTCACTTTATTTTAACTGACTGTATGCAGTACTGCCTTTCCCCCCTACTTTTTTAAAACTGATTTTTTAATTTTTTGCAATTCTTTTTCTTCATTTAATGCATTTGTACAGTTTTCGTATCAGTCCCCTAAAATCCTTTTTCTTTGAATACCTT